GGGGGGAAAAGAAATGGGGAACAGAAACCAGGGCCAGATTTTTTTTGTCTTTTTTTTTTAACAAAAATAAAAAAAAAAAAAAAAAAAAAAAAAGCATCCAAAGCTCTTGGAGCAAATAAATGTTTTAATCTACTTCTCAGAATGTGAGAAATATTTTCAAACTATGATTGAAAAGGTTTTTTTTTTCTTCTACATAAAAAAGCAAAACTATATTGTGCTTTGACAACGTAAGCCTATAAAAGTTGAAGCTATCAACATTTTCTCACTTCTCCTACCTCCACAGGTCAGAGCAGCCTGAAGAGGAGCGCCCGCCCAGCCACAGTTTGTCCAACTCCAAGCTAGGGCTGCAAGGGCTGGAGGAAGAGGAAGAGGAGGTGGAAGGGGACGACGAGGAGGAGGAAGAAGGCAGCCTGACGGAGAAGTCGCATGATGAGGCGCCGGAGTCCCCATCTCCACTCACGACGGGAGTCTACGAGGAGGACGAGGAAGAGGAAGACACGGAGACGGCTCCGTTAGCTATGAGCTATGAACACACTCGCAGGTAGGTGTTTAGTAACCTGAGCAAAAACAAAACTGAACAAAACAAAGAATCCATTCAGTTACAGTTCATGGTTATTATTTCAAGCACTGCAAATCAACTTATTCAACTACTAAACTGAATAGCAGTGCTTTAAACTGTACATAACTGTACATGAGGAACATTTCTCACAAAAATAAAGAAGAAAAACTTAAAAGTGTGGCATGCATTTGTATTTTGCACACTTGAGTCAGCAGAACCACATTTGCTTCAATTATAGCTGGAAGTATTTCGAACATGTTTTCACCTGTCCTACTTACATTTTTATTCAAGTCTCTTTGCTGCCTCTCATTTTTTCATTTTCTTGTGTTGCATTTCGTTTGTTTTCCCCCCAAAGAAGCATTTTGCAATTCGGCTAAAAACGTCTGTTTTGGAATTGATTTGGGTGTATTAAAGTAAAGACAGCTGAAAACACATGCCTGCCACACTTTTCAGATTTTTGTATACAAATAAGCTTAACAATTTATACTTTTTTTCCACGTTACAAATGTGCCTTATTTTGCGTTGGTCTCCTCGTACGTACAGTAGAATCCTCCCATTTATCATATCCAGTATAATGTGACAAAATGTGGAAAAAGTGTAAGGGATATGAACTCATTTATAAGGCATGGAGGGGGCTTGAATTTCAGATTCTCTTTAGCTTCACTTCCTCTTTTATTCATGTTAGGTCAGCTTCCTATCTTTTCCCTAAAGCTTTTTATTACTTTGTCAGTGTGTCCCGTCTGCCTTTCTAACCTTTAATTAACTGTCCCTTTCTTCTGTTTATCTCCACCTCACCTTTCCCCATTTTACATCCTGTTTGTAACATTTTCCCCTTCTCAAATCCCATTAACGCTCCCTCCGTCTCATCCAAATCTTTGTCTTTTCCTCCTTTTACTCATCCATCCATCCAATCCTTCAATCCTGCTCCATCCTTTCATTCACCCCTGGGTCGGTGTGCAGGTGTATAGAGGAGGAGGGCTCTCTCTTGGATCTGGAGGGTCTGCCCAGCTTCCCTAAGAGCCTGGACGGTTTACGTAAAGCAGCCATTGATGAGCAGTCCTTTGACGTTAAAGACATATTTAACACTTCACTAGAGTCTGAAGCATTGAAAGAAACATTGTACAGGCAGGCTAAAACCCAGGTATGTTGCTGGATTTTGGGTTATCTGTTTAAAATAGGGATGGGACTTTGAGACCATCAACATACACAAGTTTAATTTTCAAGAAACGAAGTGTATACTATACCGTGTCATTTCCCGTCACTTGTATTCATTGTAGGGGTTGAACTTAAGGTCGACTCATGATAATAGTCGAGTCGATGTCGACTAGTCGCGGTGACGTCATAGTGACGTAAGCGCAAAATGCTTCACAACTACTTGGAGGCTTTATCAGCTATTTTCACGGCAAATATTAACCCCTACACCCCCCTCCCCTTCTCCCGCTTTTACTAAGTCTATTATGCAGAATTAAAAGAGCAATAAACAGATTATTCTTTGTGAGCAGCGGAGAAAAGTTCGTTGCACAAAGTCGGGTCTGACTTTTTTCTTTTTTCAAACACCGGCTGATACTGATGATCTCTGGATAGTTACTCATATAGGAGTCAAACTATCACACTGACCACTATGGTGCTTTTGGAACATCACAAACCAAACTTATTATGAACGGATCCCGTTTGGTTACAGTTGAATTCAACGAAGCCTCCTGTTGCTCCTCCGCCCGATGCGCAGCAGGAAGCTCTGCTGACTCAGCAGCGGCTCTCTGAACCGACATGCAGACGGCGGCAGAGATCGCCTCTATCAGACCCTCAGGATGAAATTTGGACTTAGTTTCCAGATGTTGTCAAACCATATTTTTATAAGAGCGTAAAGCTGCCAGGTTAGAAGCTTCAATACGCAGGGTGACGCTGATCAGTTGGGGGTAGTTGAGGGATAAAAAAGCCTGACATCATGACGCGTTGTCGCACTTTACTCCGGTAGTCTTGTAGGATTTTTTTGACACTAGTTTATTTGACAGCAATCTGACTGTAAGGGGGCAGAGAGAGCGGAGAGAGGCCTGGGCCCAGCGAATGTTGAGTTGGACTCCAGAGTACCGCGGTCTAAGGTCTCTAAATGCAAGGCGCCGCGCTAACCACCGCGCCGCGCAACGCCCCTATTGCGGTAGCCTATGCTTTAATTTACAGTTTCTATTTGTTAAATTATTTCAATTTTTATACAATTTGAGCTTTCTGATGAACTCACCTAGTCCACCTTCTTTCATTTCCTTGGAAAAAATCTGTTTTGTCACGTGATTGCGACTAGTCGACTGGCCCAGAAGAAAGTCATTGCAGAGAAAAGAATCGACTATTCGACTAATTGGTGCAACCCCTAATTCATTGTTTGTGTTATGATATTTCCTGGTTATTTATATCATATGTATTGTTTTATGTCACACTTAAATGTTTCAGATCATAATACCAGAAACAATACATTAGTTTCTCTTGCATTAGTGAATAATGGTTCTCACCCTGGCTTGCTAAATTCCCACAGAAGTAGAAATGACTTTGTAACCCTTTCCAAACATGTAGTTGTGAACAACTTTGCTTTTTATTTGTTCTTAAATTTATTTAAATTGTTTTTTTTTTTTGCTTTTTTTTTGTGAGACTTTCTAACCTACTTTATATTTTTAGATAAATTCTATTTAAGTGGTTTCTTAATTCTGTGGGTCTATTGTAATCCAGCCTGGTTGTGGCTTATAACAATAAACCAAAAATAATGTGGTTAGTCAAATATAAATCAGGATTTTACAAGAGCTCATTTATACATGTGTTAAATGTTTATATGAGAAACATCATTTGGAAATGTTTTGCTTTTACTAAAGTTATTTTTATCCGATATTAACATTAGTTTGATGATCTGGAGCATACAAGTGTGACAAAAGGATCAGAAAAAGAAGAAATCTTTAAGGTGGAAAACACATTACCAGAGTCCTGTAAATGGCATCTTTGAGCTGCAAAACTTAACCTTCAACATGTGACATAAAACCTGCTGCAGCCATATTGTCATCCAAAGAGCATGTAGAAAGGCAATACTTGAGTTATAATTAAATCTAGATGTCCATGTAAAACATTGCGAAGGGGGTATAAAACAGCAGAGGGCCATACCCCTTTGGGTAAGAGAGGATTTGGGGAGTTCTAAAAAAAAAAAAAAAAAACAAAGTGTAAAGCAGGGGTCCCCAAACTACGGCCCGCGGGCCGGATCCGGCCCGCCACGTCATTTGGTCCGGCCCCCTGAACAATGCCGGATCCGGCCCGCCTCCTCATACCAGAGAGCATTCAGTGTTTTTTTTCATATATTGTATTTTCCGGTTTATATGTGGATTTTTCTTCAACCACCAGGGGGCTTTTGAGCAGAAGTGAAACTAACTTTCCCTCAATGGAATACATACTAGTCAGTCCCAGTCACCGTTTCACTCACGGTTTTTTCCATTTGCATTCTGGGTAAAAATCTATCTAAAAGCGCGAATGTGTCGTTGCGCTCTTCCCCCCCTCCCCGTCGACAAGAATTTTCTAAGGTTTCTTTCTACAAAACCTGAGACCGGCTCCCGACTAGAGAAAGGAACAGCTATGTGGCCCTCGCAGGAAAAAGTTTGGGGACCCCTGGTGTAAAGCAACATTTTGAAAAATTACCAATTATAAAATTAAGAAAAATATTTTTCATCATTTGTAAAAAAGATGCAGTTTTGTGATTTTGCCCAGATGACTGAAGTGAATTATGTCAGATCATGAAGCACAAACATTAGTTATGTTTTAAGTTGCTGCATTTTCTTAAGTAGTTGTTCCTAAATTAGTCAGCAACGTTTATCATCATACTCATATTATTTCATGAATGTCAAACACAATCTCTGAAAATGAGAAACTATGTGGGAAAGAGAGAGATTGCTAAATATGTGCACGTAGGTGAACCTTGCAGATTTTCTCTTAATTAATATCCAACTGTTGTTCGCTTGCAGGCTTATGCAATGATGCTGTCTCTCTCGGAGAACAACCCTTTGCACGCACCCTCTCAGAACTCTCTGGACGCTTGGCTGAGCATGGGAGGCGGACCGTCTGAGACGAGCAGCTTTCACCCACTCAACCATATCTAGGCAAAGAGAGGCCGAGGAAAGACGGAAAGAAAAGTAGGGGGAACATTTAGTCTCACAAACAGACAGAAACAAGAGACCGGCTGGACATCGGGAAGACGAGAAAGGCCGTGAAGGATTTCATTGTCACACACATTCAAGGCAGAGCGGACGAGTTTGCGCGGCTACGCCTGTGTTCACATGTTATGTGTTTGTGCAAGTACGACGGAGGAGGAGAGGGGGCGGGGGGGACGTGTCCCCTTGTGAGGCGTCCTGCAAGACTGTCTAAGAGAAAGCACTGCTAAGCTCCTGTTGATGTGAAGGACATGATGAATGCTTCTCCAGAGCATTGAAACTCTGCGTCACTCTGATCCTCCCCCCAGTGCACAATGCTCCCTGCAGCATCACAGTCACCCTGTAAAACGGCTCCCTGAAAGACACTTACTGAACTGATAATGTCTCTAAAGTCTGTGCACAATGCCCGACGCAAGCATTGCAGCACTGGCACTGCATGTCCACCAGGTGGCACTGTTTCAGCAGAAATACAGGACTCGTGAGTGATTCTCTCCAGGTTTAGTTTTTTTCTCCACCAGTCACGGAGACTATTTTTTTTTTTTACATTTTTTATTTAATTTCAGAATCAAAAGCACCAGACAAAATAAACGAATCCTCAGAACCAGTAGACTGTTGATTTTTCACTGATTACATGGAGAATGATGTCCAACGTTCAAATGTGATAATGTAATGAGCTATGTGGGCCAATAACTATTAAAATTGGCTACTAAATTTGTTCATGTTGAAATTTAAATTATACTAAAAAAAAGAGTGTGTTTTTCTGTTTTGTTTATTGCATCATCAATTAAATGTATTTACGTTCTTTACTATAGATACCACAGTATTGCTTCTTTTTAGGCACAAGAGTACTCGACTATTAATTTAATTACTTTTAGAGAAGGACCAAATTTGCTGTCACATGATGTAAAAATGATAATAGCCTAGACGTTCATATTCAGAGTGGTATGTGCCAAATAACCGCTAGAAGTCTTTCTTTTTTTTTCTTTGACAATCATGTCATTTCCAAGAGGCCTCACATTTGCTGTCACGTTTCTTTTTCCCTAATAACATTATATGTTTAATTTCAAGAAGTGTGTGCATGTATTTATTTCTATGTTGTTTTGTTGAGACTCAAGAAGAGAAAATGAAGAAACAGAAAAGGTCTTTTCATCCCTGTTTTTCTTGAAGAAGGAAAAAGGATCACCTGTCAAAGCACAGGGGGAGATTCTGAATCTCTGGTTTTGACGGATTAGTGTGCCAAAATTAAAAGACCCCACGAGTTAATTAGTTTTTTTTATTTTTATTTTTATTTTTATTATTATTTATAGTTAAATGCAAGTGTAGTTAGTTTTAGAGTCCTGTTTGGCAATGGAACATAGTGGGCAGGTTAACCCTGGTTTTCCTTTTATTGTTTCACTTTAACAGTTAACTCAATATGCTGTTTTCTTTCCCTCTCTGCCTAGTGGCATAATTGTACAAATATCATTTTGAATGTCAGTTAAAGGGCATTACGTTATCATTACTGAATCTGGACTTCTTCCGCCGTCGGCTCATGTTATATTCATTTTTCTTTTTTGGCATGCATCGCTTGTAGCTTAGCCTGCAAGTTGTCATCTTAAAATGATTTTGTCTCAGGTTAGATGTCTGGTCGGAAATTCTCACAGCATCCAGTCAAAACGGCGTGAAGGTGACAGTGTCGCTGGTTATATATAAAGAGACTTGACTCGTGATTGTTAAAGAACAGAGTGGTCATCCTGAAGTTTGTTGGTCAGACTTGTTAAACTCCATATAAATTGCTTTGAGACCCTCCTTCTATTAAGTCTGCGAAGACGGCTGTGTCATAGACAGCAGAAAACATTTACAGTCGGTACCTGAAGGCAGCTGGGTTTTAGCCTTTTCATCCCTTCTAGACTTTCATAATCAGGCCTGATGCTGTTTTTTTTTTCTTTTTTTTTTTTTTTTTTAACAAGCACTTAAAGCAACTGGGACCAGACCGTCAACTGGATATAGTTTGGTCTTTTGGTTAAACTTAGATTCCAGATCCATTTTTTGTTTTTTAAAGCTGATTTGACTTTCAATAGATGAGCCAGCTGGACTCAACAAGGAGAGATGAGAATAAAACTAAAGCACTGTAATTTTTCTTCACAACAGCAGGTGGTAGTGTGATGCTAGGACTGCTGCGTCATCTCATTTTCTTAAGACTAAAGTCTCTTTTATATATACATATATATAATTCTACTGAATGAAATTCCATTCATTGTAAACACATTATTTTTCAATTTGTGCTTAGAAAATGTAAAGACTTGGGTCACTAAGGTTTTAGGTTGACTATGTGTAGTTATTCATGTCATGGACTACTGTAATAATCACGCGCTGTGCGAAGCAACTGAATTGAAAGCGTTGAAGTATTCCATTTTGGCAACTTCACAAAATGTTCTGGTCACTGAAATTTTTCTCTTTTTTTTCAGCGTAATAAAACATGGTTGCTCTTTGCCCAACTGTTACAGAAGAAAGTCAAAAAAATAAATAAAAAATACACGGTTTCTTTTTAACTGTATAGTATTTTAAAGAATGAAAAACAATGGTGCATTTGTCTGAAGAAGAAGAAAAAAACCTTTGAAAAATATGGGTTTTAATGGATGGTGCTTGTTTTGTTTAAAATCTGAGTTGTATATCGCCTCTGTTATGTTTATTGAAAACAAATGAAAAAAAAAAGTTATCGTGCATGACGTGTTTAGCAGTCATAATGATGTCCATTTGTGAAATGTGTATCAATTCAAAAACAGAAAAAAAAGTAAGAGAAAAAAAATTGTAGATGCACTTATTGTACATGTGTTTAGGTTAGTAGGTTTGACTTCAAGTTCTGACTGCCTGGCAGATGTGTGGGCAGGTTCTGAAAGACATAGAAACGACTCACGGGAGAAGACCTAATGAAAAACAATAAAGGATTGTAGAATAATATTGAACAATTCTGGAATTGCAGTTCTTTTGATGCTTGTGATTATTGCAGATGTACTTTAGAGAAATTTCATTGAAAAGATATGACTCTGATGTTAATTCTGTAGAATAGCAATGTATACCAAATGTAATCTTTCCAATGCTATGAAGAATTTATACATGAAATTGATATGCAATAAAAACCTGTGTGCTTTTTACGATTTGTGATGCTTTTAATTCTAGATTCTTAAAAGTAGATGATAAACTTCTTGGACCAGGGAATTTATAAAATACTTTAATTTTATTACAGTCTTTTGATTCAGAGGTAAGCTGATTTAAAAATAAATGTCATGTTGTGGAAGTACCTAATACAGTCAGATCATCTAAGTACTATTTTTTTTATTTTTTTTTGAGCTGGTCATACTTGTTTTCCTAAAAATCAAGCCACACTTTTGTAGAATTGTATATTTTATATGGTTGTGAGCAAATGTAGCTATCAGAGTTAACCGCCTTTATGACCTGCTGTGTTTGCATGCTAGCTATTTCTTCTTCACAGGTTAAGGAGTTGTTCACAGGCTGACCAATTGTTTGGCACATATTTAGTCCGTAGTTATTGCCCTTTACGTATATTTAAAAAGCTGCTGTCTCACCATTTCCTATCTTGCGTTGCACGCTAGGGTTTTGAAAAATTCCCTTTTATGTGGGTCAAAAGATGAGGAAATAAAAGATATTCTGTAGATTGTTAATTCCTGTCAGGTTTGTGAGTTTTGCTTCTGATGTGCTTCCAGTGTCAAAGTTACTATGTACTGGAAATTAATGGTATATAATTCACAGTGTCCTGCTGCTCTCCAGGTATGTTACTTTTCTGAGACAACTTGTTTTGTTTGGTTGGTTTCATCAAAGGATTAACTCAGCTACTGGGCATTAAATAGCACGGTAAGTACGGTTTTCAGTTTTCAAAAGGAGTCAGTTTAGTTCAAACATGTCGTTCTTGCTTTAAAGTGAAGGTTATGTGTGTTCCTCATATTTGAACACAGGTTCCCTCCAGATCAAGCTCAATGTGACCGTTGAGAAAGTCAGCCCATTTTATTATTTTTTTTATTCAATCATTAATGCAACTTATTTCAAATTCAATTAAATACAGCATGCAGTACAAAAGTCCCACTGTTATGGTGTGAGTTATACTTTGATGTGCATGATTTAAGATGAATATTTTGTCATTCTGATATAAAAGTTCTCTGCAGAAAACACCTCATGGTAATTTAATCTTAATTCCACTGACCCTTTTGTAAAGTGAATTTACATTTTGTCTTCTGACCAGTATGTTTATCGTTTGTGTACATGTTACACTGCACTATAACACTACTACAAATCACTTAGCATGCATCATTGCACAATGGAAAAAGTAGAAGACCACTGAACGTGGTATAATGTAACTGATCATCAAAAATCCTTGTGTTAACCCTTTGAAGCAAATATACAACATCTCCAACCTCTAACAGCATTGTGACAGTGTTGGCAGAGTTAGCTCCGAGTGTAGTTTGATGTTCATAGGCCATGAAAATGTACTCTCCATTCTTGACCAGCACAGCACCTGAACCATGTGAAGAATGTCCATGTCCATAGATGTGGTAATTAAAGTGGTAGACACCTCTCACTGGAGCTGTGAAAAACCCTGTAGGAAATTGTTTTATTTTAATAATCAAGTTCACTCTGATGTTAATATTGTATAAATAAGTGTTTTGTTAATTAAATTGCAATACCTGTATTTGGGTTGTAGGCATTCCCGATATTTGAGACAACATTTCTGAAGATCAAAGACGTGTATGCATTGAAAGGTCCGATGTCCCCTCCACCTGAGGCCATTAGGGAGGCTGAGAAAGCCACTTGTCTCACTGAAGAGGAAAATATTGTTGTGTACAACAAACAGCTCTAGAGACAGTTATGAGTTTGATCCGGTGGTATGACTGTCAGAACTTGAACAAACCTTCTCCTTCTCTCTTCAGAACCTCCACCTGCTTTTGTGTTGAGTTTGTCCTGATCTTAATTTGCTGCAGTTCGTCTCCCTGTGCTGGAATGAGAATGATAAAAGGTACTGAGAAATAAATCAGTGAATCTACTGCAGGAAATGTTGTTTTACGGAAGATTTACCAGCACCACAATTAAAATGAAAAACTTTACCCTGGTACACCTAACGAAAAATAACTTAGACATTAAGATGGAAGAAAATCCTTATTGTTCTCTTTGTTTTTAATATTTGATTTGGACACTGGGCTGCACAGTGGTGCAGTTGGTAGAGCAGTTGCCTTGCAGCAAGAAGGTTATGTGTTCAGTTCTCAGCCTGGGGTCTTTCTGCATGGAGTTTGCATGCTCTCTCTGTGCATGGTGGGTTCTCTCTGGGTACTCAGACTTCCTCCCACAGTCCAAAAGCCTGACTTTCAGGTTAATTGGTTTCTCTAAATTCTGCCTAGGTGTGTGTGTGCATGGTTTTTTGTCTCTGTGTTGCCCTGTGACAGACTGGTGACCTGTCCAGGGTGACCACACCTCTTGCCCGGAACATTAGCTGGAGATGGGCACCAGCAGCCCTCCCGACCCCACAAGGGACAAAGGTGTTAGAAAATGGATGGATTTGGACACTGAAATAATTATAACTAAGCTACCTTGGTACTCCAGCTTTAGCTTGTCCAACTCAATTTTTTGCAATTCCAACTCCTTCAGCTTAGCCTCTAGTGCTAAAACAGACAAAAGGACACAAAATGTTAATTAGTATCATGGAAAAACTATAATTAAAAGACAAAACAAAATTTTGTGTTCTCAGGTTAAAATATCTTTTCAGAAAAGTACATTTTCAAATGGGCAAAAGTAAATTCAAGTTTTCTGATCAAACATATCTAAAGGTTATGATCATTTTGAAAGAATAATTTTTGGAACTTAAATGTAAATGTGATCTTAGTTTTAGCAAATACAGCTACACATAAATATCCTTTTCAGACACTCGTTTTCTGTCTCACGTCAGTAGAGATCAACCATAAATCTGTGTAAGGATTGTCCTACATGTGATATGCCACAATTGTCTTAATTTTGTTTTTTGTACTTCTAATGGATGAAAAATAAATTACTGATCACAGGAATAACCTAGTTTCACTTTGAGCTCTTGTTTACCATGTGTGCTGAAGCCATGTGAGCTTTAACTCACTGTACTTTCACATGTTGTTACCAAAGTCTCCAAAAACACAGCTAAAAGTAGCTGCCAGCCACATCCCCACACTCAGCCTTGTTCCTCAGTGTCCCTTTGACCTGCTACTGTGAGAATTGAAGTGTGACACAGAAGGGATGAAGACGTCTGACACTATAAATCTATGTGGCAAAAACCCTCTTTTGTAAAATATAGAAATATCAAACTTATTTCTAGCATTGCTACAGTATGTTGTACAAAGTTGCTGGTTTACTTGTGGTACGACTGTAAAACCACAACATTCAAGTTTCCACTAAATGAAGGTAGAAACTGTCGTGCATCATCATCATTCAAATCATATCTGTCCACTTAATCATAGTTATCAACCAAAGTTCATCTGAATTCAAAAATGTTTCTTATTAGTTCAAATTCAAATTTGTTAAATAAATGAATCAATTTCAAAGTCTATAGATATTTTAATTGCATTCCACCACTAAAATATATCATAAAATACATATTCAAGTTTGTATATTTATTGTTCAGTGTTGCTAAAAATGACAACTTATATACCTTGGTATTGTTGGAAGAGCTCTGACTTTTGCTGCTCCAGGTCTTTAACCTTAGCCGATTGTGCTGAAAAAAACACAGAACACAGATAAGGACAGAAGCTCGGGTGAGGAAAACGATTTTCAAAGTCCATTTCCTGGCCAAACACTGTTTAAATAAACAGACTTACATGCATCCATGTAAGATAAGAAACAATATAAATTCTCTTGTGAATTTGCACCATGCATGACGTTATACCTTGGTACAATTGTTCCAGTTCTCTTGTCTTTGATGCTTGGGCTAAAATAGAACCAAGAGTTTTTTTTATTGGTTCAAGTTTATTTAACGTGGT